TCTATGTCCCCGATGGTTTTCCCTTCTTCTACTGACTACCCTCATCCCCATAAGTGCTGACGTTGCCCAGGGACCCACTCTTAGCCTTCTTCAAGTTTTAATTCATCTTATTTCCAGCACAGATCTATCTGATGAAATTCAGAGCCCAAATTAACTCTCTTGAACTTTAAACAAAGCAGGCCCAATACTGAACTCATTGACTTCCCCATTCTCCAAATGTGATGTTTATCCTGCGTTACTTGTTTCAGTTAATGGTCACCAAGTCAGAAGCCTGAAAATTAACCCTGATCCTTCTGTTGGTCACCACATCTGGCCAACAGCATCCCTATAGCTTCTCTTTAGTGTCTCTTCCTCTCTCCAATGTCACAGCCTTGGCACATGTCCCTGTCATTCCTCTTGGCCCCCTGCAATAAGCAACTCATTGGTCTTCCAGGTTCTGGCATTTCCCCATTCTCATTCATCTTCAACTTCTCATTAGAATAATCTTTCTGAAATAGCATCTTAGTCATATTATTCATCTGCCTAAAGCATACAAATGTGAAATTCCCTAAAGCAGTGTTTTTTGTTTCTGTTTTACCCATTTTTGCCCCTGAATCTTTGAAAATGCTATACCTTCATCTTAGAGAGATTAACACAAGGCCATAAATCAATCTGTTGCATACACACTCAGGGGCTCTGCTCTCTCTGAAGCCCATCTCATAGATGCCTAGGGATTCATGGAACCCACAAAGCCCTCTAGTGCTTTTCACAAGGCCCTTCACCTCCCTGTCCAGCCTCATTTCCCACACACCCCACTCACACCCACCCCAGTCACAGTGGGCCACTCTCCATGTCTGGAAGACATGCTCTGACACTGTTCTCCTTACTTAACTATTGAACTATCTTGCAAGACCCACTTCCAATGCCCCATGTTCCCCCTCTCTCAGATGTCTCCCTTTTCCTTCCAGAATGAACTGCTGTCTCCCTTGTACCCCATAATAACCATTTCATAGCAGTTAGCACACTGCCTCTCTCTGAGTGTGCTACCTGCTCTAACTGGTGACATGAGATCATATTTAGCTTTGTTTCTCCTCTGCCTGCCCCTACGAACAACTCAGAATTGCTTGTTTACTCTAAAATGACTCCCATTCCTCTTTTATACAATAAATATATTCATGATGGTTTGTTATAGTAAGCATTATTTCAGCTCTCCTCAAGTTTATTTGCTTATCTTTTCCCTCTTTGCCAATTTTCATTTGAATTATATAAACTCATCTCAAAAAGTCTGTGCAGCTTTTGTGATATTCAAAAGGCTAGCAACTATAGAAACTGCCAGGGTTAATACATAAAGGGAACTATTCCACAAAAAGGAAGGACAGAATATATAAAAGCTGCTGCAAATGTATTCTATTTGAATAAGAATTAAAAGGTAGGAAAACTACAGGTAAGTCTAAGTTCATTTTAATGCAAAGTGCACAACTGACATTTTCTATCTCTATCTCACCCAGAAAAATCAAAACATCCATGCTAAGCATTTATTGCTTTTTGGCTCTAAATACAGTAAAATTTCTATTTTATTTTGTTAGCACAGAGAAGCTCATATAAATTTAATAAAGCTGAAAGTGTATTTGCCCTCTGGAGAATCTGTAAATTCTAACAGTAACAAAAAGCAGTCACTCATATTGTAGAAAGAGTCACATTTAAATTGGTTGTATGGTGTAATTGGTTGACCATAAAATATTGCTGAGATCCATGAAATCAATTTTATCTGAATCCCAATTGGAAAGTTCAAGTTTTATCTTTATGGTACTCCAGTGCCAATAGTCTCACTGCTACACTAGAGAAAATTCAAAAAGAAGTTACTGTTAGATGATTAAACACACCATTTTAAGTCATAACTTCACTTTTGGTGATTACAGGAAAATTAAGTATCATTCATACTTGAGTGGTTTTCATATAAGTAGATCTTATTCTTACACAGACTTCCTTTAACTGTTATTTGAGGAGAAAACGTCTTCAATTATTTTATGTGATATGATAATAATGTTTTACACTTAGGAATTTTATTATGCTACTTTCCATCACTGATGGGAAATAATTCAGTTAATTAAAAAAAATTAAGGATGCATAGCTAACTATAAAACTCTTTAGCTCAACATATTTCTCCTAGGTTTCTCATTCCCTTGATCATTGTAAAGACTGGCTCTACCATTCAAAGAAGTAAGGAGAGGGAATGGAAATATGAATTAACTTCCATCCAGCTTCAAGCACTGTGCTTCTATTTATCCTTGCAACACTCTGAAGTTGATATTATAATCCCAGATGTTACACATAGGTAAACTGAGGCTCCACTTTCCGAAGGTCACATGTCTAGCGAATGGGCTGTCCTGGCTGGCTCATGCAAGGCCCTCTTGACAGAGGCCTTCTTATGTTGACTATGCCCATGGCCCCTTTCTAAGGAGCTATTTGTATGCAACCAGGTTTTCTACCAAATAACCCCATCACGCTGGCCACAGGTAACTGGACAAGGGATTGGTGCTGGACCCAAAGCTGGCAGCCCCTGAGGAGGTCTTTTGTGAAAAGGTGGCTGGCCAAACAAATGTGACCCTCTCTCGTAAAAGAATGCAAGACACTGAGAGAAGCAGAGAAAAGGAGCAGTAACACTAACACGCTCAGTGAAAAGGCAGTGAGTTGCAGCCATGACACACTCTCTCAAGCGCCGTGACAGAACATTTACAAGTTATGGGACTGGAGGAGAGGAGGGCTAGTACTGGAAGGCCTGGCAGGCCGGTGCTTCTAAACAGAATTTAATTAGTACTCATAAAGCACTAATTAAGAAAATGGCAAGTACACCAAGAACGGAAAGAGATCCTAAAACTATAAATCCCTGAATATGCAAATTATGGAAATAAATTACTGTAATCAATATTTCAACAGAACACAACTCAGTGGTTTCAGTTCTGCACAAAAATGTCCATTTTTAGAAAATAAAGGCACAATAACAAAGTATTAACAAACAGATTAGCCACCAAAATCACAGTTTCATTCTCTATTATGGGACAACAGCAAGGAGGTGGCAAGATTAGAATCAACTGAAAAAAAAAATTTTTTTTAATTGCAATACGTCCCATGTCAGGTCAATAAAATCAGAAACTTAGGGGTTGGGCCCAAGAATTATAAAAGTTCCCCAGGCTATTGTGTAGCCAGAAATAAGATCCACTGCTCCAGGGCAAGGGGTCTCAAAGTGTGGCCTAAGGATGGCTAGTATCAGTGTCACCAGGGAGCATGTGAGAAATGAAAACTCTCAGACCTCTCCAGATCTAATGAATCTGAAACTCTGAGGGTGGAGCTCAGCAATCTTTGTTTTATAAGAATATCCAAATATTTCTGATGCATCTTAAAGTTTGAGAATGATAGCCTTACATGATATTGAAAGGCAAATCTTTCTTTTTATTAGAGTGATAGTATACCTATCAATAATAAACTGAAAAAAATCCTACAAATACAGCAGGCAAAGGCTAATTTCCTCAATAAAGAAAACTCAGGTAGAGACATAAATAACATACTTAGATACTAAAGACATTAGAACACAGGATAAACAAGTAATTAAACAAGATGTTTACTTAGATTTTTCTTTATATAAAAATCAAGATACAAACTTATATGTATAAAATATACTTAAAATGGGGGGACATACAAAGAAAACTAAAGTCAAAATAATAAGTCATGTGGCTTCTGAGTGATTACAGTATTTTTTAATAGTGATAATGTGTTCTCTTCACAATTTTGAAAAATTATATATTTAAAATATAATATTTTGATCCCTACCACATACTACATACAAAAGTTAAAAACAAAATTGTAGAATTATTAGAAGGAAATAAAGGAGAATATTTGTATGACGTTGGGGTAAGGAAAACTTTCTTATGACAAAAAAAAAAAAAGCAAAAACCTGAAATAAAGTGATAGATACACTTGAAAACATCATGATTTTAAACTGCTATAAAGGATTCCATAAACAAAATAAAATGACAAGCCAGGGACTGTGAAAAGCTATTACAACACATATAGTAGACAAGTCACTGCCAGAACATATAAGAAAGCCTACTAATCAATGCAAAAATATAATTAACCAATAAGGAACTAATAAAGCATGTGACTGAGAGAGACATGGGGGAAAAAATTCAAAACCACTCATAGACACATGAAAAGTTACTTAAACTCACAAGTAATGAGGAAAATGAAAGTTGAAACAATAAGATACCATTATTTTTTGTCTATCAGGTTAGCAAAAATTAAAAAGTCCATCAATATCAAAGTGGTACTTTATGCTTTGGTATTAGGGATATAAACTGGTACAGCTACTCTGGCACACAACCAAGCCAGCCTGCCCAGCAATTCCACTTCTGGGTATGAACTCTCATGCACATATGCACATGTGCACAGAGAAACATGTTGTTCCTTACAGCACTGCTTTGTGACAGCAAAAAAGTGGAAACAACCTAAGTTTTCATCAGCAGGAAAAAAGGTAAATGAAATGTGGTATATTTATTCAAAGTACTATACAACAGTTAAGGGAAATAATAGACCTATATGTATCAACCTGGACAGCTCTCAAAAACTGTTAAATAAAAGAGCAATTTATAGAATTAAATATAATTTAAGACCATTTATATAAATTCTTAAAACCTCTGAACAATTTTAATCGTCTATCTAGCCATTTGTGTAAAAAGTAATTTAAAAATAACCTGTAAGAGTACACATCAAACTCACAATAGAGGTTATTTCTGGGTAAGGGATAAGTTTTTTCTTCAGCTTCTCAATCCCCCTCCCTCTCCAAAAACACCCTTTGCCAATCAATCAATCAATCAATCAATCAATCAATCAATCTAATAACATGCTACATAATATGAACATTAGCACCCACCGTAATCATCTGAACCTGGTGCTCAAATCATGTAATTTTTATTATTTTATTATAATTCAAGCAAACAGTTACATCAAAAGCAGATGACACTTACTCATGTAAGGTAGTTTTTCTGGGCAGGGGAGGTATGGTGAATATGTGAAGTTTTCCGGAAGATATGTTGTTGTTTGAAGAAGACAATCACTTGAATTACTGCCTTCAGGATAATCTTGGAGAGAGAGAAAATAGTTAAAACCAAAAAAAAAAATTGCCTTTTGCTTTGCTCCTACTATGAAATACGTCACCATCACTGGGAGATCTGCAAAACGAAATCTACAGAAGTACTTAAAAGCAATGACCTACAAAGACCTAACGAAAGCAAAATGCAGCTGCCATGGCTCCTCTCCCATTTATCACTGACTGCGGCCAGAAAGGACCGCTCAGCAAGATTTCCCAAGGGAACCCTGGGAGAAGTCTAGGAGCAGCCTGGCTGCTCGGTGAGTGCACAGGGAGGGCGCATGTGCAGCCACAGGACAGCACCTGCTCCCATCCCTCCACTGGCTGAGCCAGGCTGAAAGGGGGGGGGGGGGGACAGTATCCCAGGGGCTCTGGGATCCTTTCCGCTACCAAACAGCCCAGGGTGCTCACACAGACACAGCACTGCTTCTAGCATCCACAGAGCACAGACGCAGGAATAATATCTTCACAGCATCCCATACTCAGGAAAATGAGATTTACTCACTCAACTTACTTCTGTAACAGCCTATTTTAAATCTTTAAATTAGTCATTTCCAACCCATGGGCTGCAGTCCCTGGGGAAGCACTGGAGCTATTATTACAATAGGTCTATTATCTTAAGAATCAGCCGGTTATAAAGCATAAAGGGGATTGGTTTTAGAGTCCTCAAGTCAAATGCTGAGTTCAAATCCTTGCTCCAACACACATTAGCTTTGTGGTACAAGGGCAAGACAACACGGCTTCTCAACTGTGCCCACTTCATGTTGTCATTTTCAGATTTCAATAAGATAAATGTATAAAGTGCCTAGAACAATCCCTGGCCCATATATACGTTCAATAACTGTAGCTATGAGTAATTGGTTTAGAGGTGAGCACCTGACACAACCTAGGACAATCAGAGCCTCAAGAGTTTTGAACATGGAGCCAAAGAGGTCACATTTCAGTCCCTTTCTGGAACAGGCTTCTGAGATGCCAATCTGGGAACCATGACCTGCCAGTTTCCTTCTATATAAGAGGAAGCCAGTCTAGGAGAATGAGACCAACATGCAGTGAGTAGGAGAGGAGGGGTGCAAACAGCTGACTAAACTACTGTCTGTCTCCTGGATCACAAACCATAGACCCTCAGAAAATAAAGCTCCAGCAGACACTTTAGGAAAATGTGAAGATATTCTTTCAATCTTCAGCAATCTGCTCTGAGAAGATAAGTCCTATGTGAACTGGCCTGCATGCAAAGAGACAGGAAACAGGAGAACAGACATATGACTTAAAAGAGAGGCCTGCCAGTGACCAGCAAGCAGAAAAGGCTCATGGTCAAAATCATATGCCTTACTAAAGAACTATAAAAGCTAAACCCTTTCACTGTGGAAAAATGGTGGAATCCTAAAAATTGAATATGAAGTATGTGATAAGAGTCAAAGAAAACTAAATCCCTCCCAGGTACGCCTTTGCCTAACATAAATATTCATTCACCATCAGAGTTGAGGGGGACAGGATGTAGCCTAGGAGTGAGAACAGAGTTTCATAGCAGAGACTGGCCCCACTTCCAGGCCCACCTGCTGTAAGGGGCCCTGCAGAGGCTGCTATGCAGAGGTTTAGGGGGGATCTGGTACCAAGGAAGAGACAGACTTTCAAAGGACTGCACGAAAATCCCTTTAGGAATTTGGCAGGGCATCAGTAAGGTGCTAAGGTAACTGTATTGCCAAAACCCCATGACAAATAGGGACTGATGATGGTACAACCACTAAGCCCTATTCTACCAGGAAGTGGGAAAACCCCAGTGAGAGAATCCTCCCCAAGCCTTTCTCTGGAGGAGTCCTGGAAAGCATCTGACAAGGAAAATCCTCCAGCCCAAACGGGATGGGGAGCCAGCGGACATTGTTTTGTATGCCCATGGACAGACTAAAACCACAGAAATCCCTCTAGTAACGCATAATCTAAATCTTACCCATATACAGAGGGTGCCAAAAATATATATACACAACTTTAAGAAAGGAAAAAATTGTATTAAAATTGTAATACTCAAAAATATATATATATATATACCGATAACAAAAGATGAATACAAGTCACGTTTGACTTCTGCAATTACACATTGCTACCGTAATTCAATTCAACTTCGAAAGTAATACATAGATAACGTCTCTTAAAATGTGTATACATTTTTTTGGCACCCCAGGTATATCTGAAAGATTTAAGATACTAAACATAAAATAAGTGTAAGGAAGTCTAAAAAAGTTCTCATTGTTTCCTTAAGATGCTTTTTAAAAATATACCTACTGTAGATATATATCAAATTTAAAGTTATATTCCAAAAAAAATTTTCTCCTTCCCTGGGGATTCTTGCTATGCTAGCTAAGCATCTACTGCACTCTAGGCATTTGCAGGAGCTGAAAACAGAAGATAAATAAGGTTGTCTCTGAGAGCCCGCTGCCTTTATGTGTTCCAAAGACTCATTTTCTTACAATCCTGAGGCAGGTAAATGTTAACATTCTCATGCAATCCTCAGTGTCATGTACTTTGTCAAATACTTTAGAGTATTTTCTTACTCTGCATCATTTATTAACTCTTATCATTAATGCTGGGCTCCTTCTCTTAGCCACACACTATGATTCTATTAATATAAATCCATATCCAACTCATAGAAATTCTAAGTTCTCTAGACATTTCTGCAAAACCAACTAGTAACAAGAGCTCCCCTTGGGGAGTCTGGTGGCAACAGGGGGGCCAGAGGATTGTTTCACTTTTATTTTAGTGTGAGAATGACGGAAACTTTCACAAAAGAACCCATGCATCACTTTTATGTTTTTAAAGAACAACATTTTTTTAAAGAGCCTTAAAGACCTACAATATCAGTATATTCACATCTCTTCAACACACTGTTTTGGAGCTAAGCATGTTATTCTGGGCCACATCCTTATAAATAAGGGTCTCAACTCATTGCCATACTTACAGAAACATGTCTGTGCTCCATGAGTACTCCGTCCAGTGGCATTTATGTCACCCCAATGTGTTATGTACATAAGTCTGTCCACCCCGCCACTAGCCTGAACACCTTTTTTGAAATCCAACTGCCTCTGATTTCTAGTATCTGATAAAGTGCCTCCAACATAGTAGAAACTTACTGCAAATGAACACTTCACAACTGATAATATAGCCAACAATGGTTTAAGGTTTTAGGGACTATATCGTAATCAACCACAAAATCATTGTTCTTACAAAGTGGTTACGTCTATCGAATACAACCACTGCTTTCAAAACCAGAAGCAGTTTTAAGGGCATGCATGGTAGATGAATTTGAGACTGATCCACAACTTCTCTAAAATGTAGACATTATTTCACCTAATGAATGGGTGAAAATACAAGTCCTGGGCCCCCTGCCTTCGTCTTCCCTTCCAGAGCCACACTCAAAGGAAAGAAACCGAAATAAAACTGCCAGACAGGTCCCCTCCCAGTCTCACATCAGACCTAATCACCTAAGGTAAAAGGAGAATAGGACAAAAGGAGGCCTCACAAGGGTTTTGTGTGGGGCATTCGGAAAAGTCCTTAAAAGGGTCACTCTTTGGTCTTTTTTCCTCTTCCTTCCTTCCTTTTTACTGACCCAAGCACCAGTAGGAAGACTGAAGCCCTGGCAACCATCTTAGATTGTGACTCCATCTGACAGAGCAGACGGTGAGAAGTATGTGGAGGCTTTGTCCGCAAGAACTACAGATAACCAACTTCTAAACTTCTTGTGTATAAGAACATAATCCTCATGTGTTTAAAGCATCACAGTTGGGTCTCTCTTACAACCAAACCCAATTCCTAACTGATACAAATGACTGACTATCTCCTGAGAGCAGTTTACTACCAATAAAGGGACCATATGAAAAGTTTTCAAAGGTTCATAAAAGTAAGCAAACTTCAATCAAAGTATGTATTGCCTATTGGGTCTTCGTTGAAACTATGACTTGGTGAGGGGAGGAGAGGATTTCATTTTTTTTTTCCCCCCTTCAGTTGCAGGAGGCTGGAGGAAAAGATCATCTTGCCCATGCAATTGATTTTCCTAATTATGCTTAACATTCACACATACGAGGTATGCTCAAACAATATAGTGAATGTTTAAATTAAAAAATTTATTACAGTAAAAGATGTATTGCCATTAATCCTCCTCAAAATACACCTCCTTATATGGAACACATTTAGTCCATCGTTCTTGCCACTTTCTGAAGCAGTTCTGGAAGTCCTCTTTCATGAGTGTCTTTAGTTGTGCTGTTGTGGCTGCCTCCATGTCCTGAATCAGTTCAAAACGTTTCCCTTTCATGGTGATTTTGACTTTGGAGAAGATCCAGAAGTCTCACAGTGCCAGATCCAGTGAATAAGGTGGATAAGGACACACCATGATGTTTTTATTTGACAGAAATTGCCATATATCAGAAGTGGTGTGTGACATGGAGTGTTGTCATGATGGAGATGATTTGTGGCACACTTTAAAACACACCTTCTCTCAACCGTAGCTCACACACGACTGACTGCACCAAACAAGTTGAAACTTGTCACACACTGTTACTAAGGTTCATCACACTGCATCCTGTATTGAAGATCCTCTGCATTGGATGGCACGTGGCAGCAGCATTCACCGTATTTTATGATCACAACAGAAAGGCTCCATGTCACACATCACTTCTGGTATACGGCAATTTCTGTCAAATAAAAACATTACGGTGTGTCCTCATCCACCTTATTCACTGGATCTGGTACCATGCAACTTCTGGCTCTTCCCCAAAGTCAAAATGACCATGAAAGAGAAACATTTTGAACTGATTCAGGACATGGAGGCAGCCACAACAGCACAACTAAAGACACTCATGAAAGAGGACTTCCAGAACTGCTTCAGAAAGTGGCAAGAATGATGGGATAAGTATGTTCAAAGTGAGGGTATTTTGAGGGGGATTAAACACAATGTGTTTTTTACTGTAATAATTTTTGTTGTTGTTGTTTTTTTCAGCTGATCCATCCTGCCACCTGTTGACAGCTCAGCGGCAGCTCAGCTCAGGCTGGGAATCAAACCAATGACACTGTTGCTGTAATAATTTTTTTAAATTTAAATATTCACCACAATTTTTGATCATACCTCATATAACTTATTCATACTCCAGGAAAAGAGCTTAATTATGCACAGATTTTTTTTAGTACTTACTTATACAAACAGAATAACCTAAAGATGCTTAATATCTCTGTTCAGTTGAATGAACTTTTAATGAACACTTTCACAATCAACTTATTCCACCAGGACAAGTCCTAAAGAAGCTTTTAAATGTTTAAATTTCTCCAAAAATTGACCTACTACTCAGAAAACCAATTAATGCAGAAGACAACTTAATGAGACTTTTACTGTGCTAATAGAGTAGCTACTACCATGAGACAGTCTTTCTAAAAGAAACTGCTTTAAAGTTAAAAGGAAGAAAACAAATAAGAGTGTTTTGATTTCTGACATCATAACACCAATTAGGCAAATGACTAGAATGGATTTTGCAGAGGCATGTGTGAAATTAAATTAAGAATCTATGTTACAGTCTTGAATTTTTTACAAGGGTCTAAAACTATTATTCACTTTAACATGCATTTTAAGAAAAAATCTCTATGGTTGGGAGATAGGGACTTCTATTAGTGGAGGGAGAGAGAGAAAGAGAGAGAGAGAGAGTGTGAGTGTGAGTGAGTGTGTGTGTGTGTGTGTGTGTGTGTGTGTGTGTGTAGTTTACAGTGGCATAATGAAGAAATGTTGATACAAATTAAATCTTTAATTTTAAGTTTAAAATGAGAACGTAGAAGGTTCAACAACTGACATCAGCCACTGAATGCTTTAAAGTAATGCCTCATAATACTCAGAGACAATGTGGAAACACTGCCATAGAGGAGAATATGCATTCTTCCATAATAGTTAAAACTATTTACATCAATTCTACCATCATTAAGCCATTAGTTTGGCCTATTACTTAAATTTTAACTTTATGTGGGTCTAATGGACATTCTTCTTCCAGATAATATTTTAAAAAGACAAGAGCAGCTACTGATTTCCATTTTTGTATCATTTCTCCACTAGCCCCTAAAAAATCCATAAAATTAAGAACCTTCTATAATTAAAAGTAATAAGCATTTTCTAGACATAATTGGAAAAATACTTTAGGAACTAGAATGAGCACAAAGAAATGGGGCAGAACGGCAAATATGAATAAATTATTCTTTTTGTAGTTAATTTCTCCTAAGTGCAATAGGTGAATTGACAACATGCAAGCTGCTTTTCTATTTTGTTTATGTTTGCAAGAATTAACTTAAGTATCTTTGTACAAAACCCTCATCACCTTTGTGACCATGTCTTTACATACCCAAGAAGAGAATACATGACGGTCCTGGCTCCAGCAGTAAAAGCATTTCTCAGAACACTAGCATGAGACACCTCATTGTTAACAGGGAGTTAGCTGGAGGCAATGCCAGGGCTTGAGAAATTTGATTTGCTTCTTCCCAGCTACAAGGGTAAGAAGCAGAAGCAAAGCAAGATTAAACAGGAAGCAATCTTACCTGTACCGTTGAGTGTAGCGTTTTTGTTTGTGTAAAGCCTGATCATATGTCCTATTGTTTTCACATTTTCTCTCAACATTATTCCTCGAGCTTGTACCATAAAGAGGTATGTGTTGGCTATAAAGAAAGAGAGAGAGAATGTCATGACTCAGTAAGCTTTTTTTAAAATTCAATAAAATACTCAGAATTGGGGAACTGTCCAATAAACCCAGATTGACTCAATTAGCATGCTCAAAGAGAATACAGAAATATAAAATCATAATTTTCTATTATCAAAAACTTACAAAAACAAACTTTAAAAAAATAAAAATGAAAAAATTAAAGTAGTAATATCCACCAAATAAAGAGACTAAACAAACTGAAATATCATAATGAATTCCTTTACCCTTAAATGATTTCCTACTATAAAATATACTTAGAAACTTCAAAGAGGCATTTTAGTATAAGTATATAATCATATAGTTATAAAATTCACTTTGTCTAATTCTATATCAATTCTCCCAAACCAAAAACTCCACAAAGATTAGAATTCCTTATCTAATCATAAATATATCATAAATCACCATAATATCCATGATAGTATGGCTATTCTTGTAGATTGTCAGTGTGCTGGATGGGTGTGGGGTAGAATTACCTAGAATCAGTCTCTGTTTTGCTAATTTCTCTGTAAGAGTTAATTACTTGAACTTTTACACTCCCTTTAAATCATAAATCTACCTACCAGGATTGTAAAAGCAGACGAAATCAAAATCAATGTGTATTTTCAAAGTTGGTCAATTTCATTCTTTGTGCTAAGTGCTTCAAAAATAAGCCCCTAATTTGTTCCTTTGGGAGAAACTGATAAACTGACAAAGATAACAAAAATCCCTGCCTTTTGAGATGCCACATCTCCTCAGAGAGGCACAGAACTAAAGTCAAAAGATCCTCCCTCTCTTGGTCCTGATTCTGCTAGAGCGGTGCCTAACTCTGGAAAAGGGAATATTACACTTGATGTTCTCTACAGCCCCTTGGACTCTAAATTCTCCAAGCATAAGCTGCCCAAATCATAAACTCCATTCAGAAGAGAAAGAGGCTCATTATCATGGCAACACCAACACAGGAAAGCCTCAGTTAATGACTCAGTTAAGATAAGATGTCTCTGAATAGTCATGACATTCTCAAAAATGAATGCCGAATGAAAAAATTGAAAATGACAACGAATTTTCTGGGCCATGTTCTACTTCCTCATAATAGTACAGAGTGATGAGCAAAATGTATTGTTTACTACCTCCTTTCCCATTTTTTAAGTGAGTGTGAACTTGCTCCAAGCACAAAATGAGCACAGAGTAAATAAACCTAGTAGAGAGGCAGAGTAAAATAACACTTCTCCTTTCACCTTCAATTCATAATGGAGTCACAGAAATCCAGGTTTCACATAAACTTTACTTCAATCATTTTTAAGAGCATGTCTACATCCTCTCCAGAAAGCAGTCCTATAATTAGATTTAACTTGTTTAGGCTTGAATTTATTATACAGGGTTACCAGCACCACACATTCTTATTACATCTCTGCTCTTGAGTGGACTTTAAAAGAAAGAAGAGACAAAGTGAAAAACAAAAAGTACCGCCAACCAAAAATGTGGGAAAATGTTCCATAAAAGCCAAAATAACATTAGCAATTCAAGCTAAACCAAGATCTCAAGTTCGACTGAAATGATGCAGGAAAAAGACATCAGATAGATTATTAACACCAATTGGTTTACAACACCTTGGATCATTTAATCCTAAAGGTATACATGAAACTTGTTATCAATGATGTACTTATCTTTTTTATGTTTGTTATGCATCAAACTGTAAAAAGAAGACTGATCTTGAAGTGGCAATACTGATCAAAGGGTTAAGCCAAGGCCAATATTGTTTCCCAGACTTCAAGAAACACTACTGGCCTAGGCAAGAGTATGTTTGGTAAGAATATATATGCATTGGGGGTGACCGGTTAGCTCAGTTAGAGCATGGAGCTGATAATGCCAAGGTTGCCAGTTCAATCCCCACATGGGCCACTGTGAGCTGTGCCCTCCCTAAAGGAGTCAACTATGCCATTGTAGCATGAAAGCAATGTGTAACCAATGACCATGGCTGTCCCCCAATAAAAATTAAAAAAATATATATATATATATATATATATGCATTATTGTGCATCCTGGAAACAGAATTTTTTAAAACTATATCATTTTTGCTTTTAATTAACATACCTACTTAGAAAGAAAAATTTCTGACACCTCGAAACCAAGTCAAACTCATGTAGCAAAAAAAAAGATCTGGATAAAAAAGAATCATCAAATTCAATTTTTCTAAAACTTTCAAACTATCAGGTTACAAAACTCTTAAGAAAAAAACAAGTTGATCACAGATGGCACCTGTGACAAAGGTGAACCATTTACCAAAAGAATCCATTTACTATTCATTAGATCAATGGAGAAAAATGAAGGGACATGAGATACCAATTTCTCCAAATGGAAAATCTATTAGTTTATTTTAAATCATGGACAGCTAATTGAGTTACATTCCTTGGGTTAATGGTCCTCAAGGGTTTAATCCCTAAAGATCAAAACCCATTAGGGAATGCGGCTGTGTTTAAACAGAGTCAGGCTAACAGGAAGGAAGAGGCATCCTGTGCTGCTAGACATATTAAAGCAGCGAGAACGGTTTCGATTGTCTGATTGCCAAATGTCATAAAACTAAGTTAACCAACATTGAAATAACTAATATCATTAATATAAAATGTAATGTCTTATTGGCAAGCCGATAAATTAAAGGAAGTCCTTGTTTAAAATTTCTCTTCCAACTTACAAGAAACTATATCTTGGAAAACAAATTGGGAAATTTTTCCCAGCCTTGCCCTTTGGTCCACACAACTCAGAAATACACTGAAAACTACCACTGTTTAATTAAAATCATACTGTGTGCCCTCTGATTTAGTTCATTTGTTACTTGCTTCTGAGTTGTGAGACATAAATTTAATTTATTTACCAGTTCTGCTTCCAGGGGAAGGAAATCTACCACAATTTAAACACACACACACACACACACACACACACACACACACACCTTCAAAAATCAACAGTTTACAACAGCTTCTAGGCATCCTATCCTAGGTTTATGAGGAAAGATTTACGAACTTGTCTCATTCTCAACGTAAGAAAACTAAGGAACGCATTTGCTGATACTGTGTCTCCCCACCCCTTTCCACATCCAATTTGTTCAGCGAAAGCGCAGTAAATATTCAAGACAAGGAGAATATGTGGGTCTACAGCGATTTGGGAAGGATTCCTGAGCTCCCAAGGACTCAAACACAACATCCCCCGGATGCCATTACCATGTGCCAACCACTATGACATATGCCACAGGTGCCTTAAAGAAAGGTATGTCAAGTGAAGAGCTGGTCTTGAGGGAGAGCGTGTTGGTTAGGCATTCTGGCATGCAGTTATAAAAGGAAGACTGGAGATAAGAAAGAGGGGCTCGAAATCCAACTTGGGGACACATTCATATCAGTGTAATAGTGGGAACCTACGGTGGTGAATTACCACAGGAAAATTTATCTAGAAAGGAGGTAAGAAGGTGAAGTTCAGATGTGGAGACAGACCGCAAATAGGAGACGCAAAGATAAAAGACCCCAAGATAAATCAGCCTGAGCTTGAATGCGCTGAAGGAAGGGGGAATAATCAACCATGTCAAATGCCACGGAGGCCAAGAAGAAACACTAAAAAGCAATAGCTTAAAAAAAAAAAAGGGCCGGCCGAGTGGCGCGTTGGTTAAGAGCTGGCTTGGGATGCCAGAGGACCCCGGTTCGGATCCCACATATGAGGGCCAGTGACACTGCCCTC